GTTTTTTCGAGACAGGGTTTCTCTGCGTAGCTTTGCGCCTTTCCTGGAACTCACTTGGTAGCCCAGGCTGGCCTCGAACTCGCAGAGATCCGCCTGCCTCTGCCTCCCGAGTGCTGGGATTAAAGGCGTGCGCCACCACCGCCCGGCAAATTTTCCTTTATTTAAAAGGAAAAATATGTCCAGCATGATGGCTCCATGGTAAAGGAGTTTGTCACCAAGCCTGACAGCCTATGTTTGACTTATATTGTGGAAGAAGAGACTGCCTCCCAAAAGTTGTTCTTTGACCTCCTTGTATGTATCCTGGCACATTGTGTCTGCACAGATGCAGACACACACAAATAACTAAATGTATTCAAAATTTATAAGACAGATGTGGTAGCATATACTTTTCACACCTGCAGGCACGAGGCACACACAGAGATGAATCTCTGTCTCTGTGAGTTCTAGGACAGACTGGTCTACATAGCAAACTCTGGTAGCCAAGGCTACATTGTGAGACCCTGTCTCAGGGGATGAATAATCAACAGAATTTTTTTACTTATATAGGCTTCATGGAATCCCAGAAATGGCTCACTAAATTTTATGTATGCTTGGCTTCCCTTATCCTAAAAGGCTCTCTGATACATAACCCAAGTTACGGGAGCCCGGGTGTTTTGTTTTGTTTTTTAATGACTTATTTTATTTTTATGTGTTCTTCCTGCATATATGTCTGTGTGAGGGTTGTTGGATCCCCTCGAACTGGAGTTACAGACAGTGTGAGCTGCCATGTGGGTGCTGGGAATTGAACCCAGGTCCTCTGGAAGAGCAGCCAGTGCTCTTAACTGATGAGCCATCTCTCCAGCCCTGGGAGCCCAGGTTTTTATAGCTCTTAGATAGTGTAAAATAGCATCAGCATAGTATGACTTAGAGTTTCTGCAAGTCAGTGAAAGATCAACAAATTCATAAGCAGTGACATTAATGTTCTCATTTTTAGGAAAATTGAGCTATAAGCCTGTCTTTACTTCTCAATTCCAAATAGTTTTTCATTATTTATAGATCAGGTTTTCTGGTTTTAGGGACAGGGCTCTAGCCTGGCATTTACAATCCTCCTGCCTTGACTTCCTAAATGCTAGTATTCCGTACAGACCTGTGTTGCAATGCTTTGCCTTCATGACATCTTTGTTTAATAATGCTAATGGCTATACCATTTTTAGTAATAAAGCAAGCAGATAGCTTTTGCTTGTTGGTAAAGCATATCATATCAGAGGGAAAAAAACACTTAGGCAAACAAATTTCCATGGCTTTTTCCTTCTGTATCAACATGGCAAAAATTCAGAGATAATGAAAGCCTGGAATTTACTGAGTAACCCAACAGTTTGTTTTGCTGCATTTTAAAATTGAGCTTGATATGTGTTATTTGGGATGGGATGGGGTGGTATGGGATGGAGTGGAATGGGGTGGAATTGAGGGGTGCATTATTTTGGAATGCTAAGGATCAAACCCAGGGCCTCACATATGTAAAGAAAACACTCTACCACTGAAGTTCTTTAAACTTTTCTGATTTGCCTAAGTATATTTGTATATATTTATAACTCATTTTTTGTTCCAATAGCCCTAGATAACATATGATTGATTTCAATAGTTATATATAATAGAATGAAGTCGTAGAGTGGAAGATGTAACTACATCTTTTTCAACTACAGTTAACTTTGGTTTTAACTGCTAGTTTGCAGTGAAAATTGTAGGACACATGGACATTTCGAGGATATGCTTACTTCAATACTCCTAACATTATAATTTGATTAAATGCCTCCTCTTAAAAAAATAAAGTAAAATAGCCGGGCGGTGATGGCGCACGCCTTTAGTCCCAGCACTCGGGAGGCAAAGCCAGGCCGATCTCTGTGAGTTCGAGGCCAGCCTGGGCTACCAAGTGAACTCCAGGAAAGGCGCAAAGCTACACAGAGAAACCCTGTCTCGCAAAACCAAAAAAAAAAAAAAAAAAAAAAAAAAAAAAAAGGTCTCTCGTTATGTAGCCCTGACTGTCCTGGAACGCTCTATGTAGACCATGCTGGCCTCACATTCATCGAGATCCACCTGCCTCTGCCTCTGAGTGGCAGGATGAAAGGTGTGTGCCACTAGGCCTCCTCCCTCTTATTCTCTTTTAACTGGATCTACCTGAGAGTGACCTCGAGCAGAGTTTTGACTTCACTGAAAACATGGCATGCCTTTATTCTGTCATTTATTCCTATTGATCCATCTTAGACCCTAAATCTTTGCTGTTTCATGCTCCAGTGAAAATTTCTAGAAAGGCCTACTACACCTGCCTGTCTTAGGAGCCTCACGGGCTCTTCTGGTGCTGACTTCATGGATCTCCTGTTTGGAACTTGATCTACATTCTATCTCTAGTCTATAGTAACACTGAAAAAAGAATTAACCATGCTTTGCAATAAAATTTTGAGTTATATGTTGTGGGTAAAATGGAATTACAAAAAAAAAAAGAAATTTTAAAACAATCTCCTTTGTGTTTTCTCTTAGGTCTGCTGCCTATAATCTTCTGTGTGCCTTAACTTGTACCTTTAATTTAAAAATTGAAGGTCAGTTACTAGAGACATCAGGGTTATGCATCCCTGCTAACAACACCCTCTTTATTGTCTCGATCAGTAAGACACTTGCAGCCAATGAGCCACACCTCACCTTAGAGTTTTTGGAAGAGTGTATTTCGGGATTTAGCAAATCTAGTAAGTAATAATTTTCTTTAATACTCAAAATGATTCTAAGACAATTCAAAGAAAACTTTTTTGTTTGGAAATTTACCAGTGGTCTTTTACTTACTATATTTTTACTTCTTAAAAACTTGCCTCTTTTTTTGTTTTTGTTTTTGTTTTTGTTTTTGTTTTGTTTTGTTTTGTTTTGTTTTGTTTTTCTGGCCTGGGTACCCTGTAACTAAAGGAACTCTGAAAAAAAAATCCTAGTAGGATGCACAAAGAAATCTATCAGGACTCTGGCAGGAAGCCCAGCTAGCAAGGGGGTCCTCTTGCCTGTGGGCTGCTTGAAGGATTTCCTTCCTTATTTCAGCTCCATGCACCTCAGTGTTTCTTTGCATAGACAAGAATTGCAGACATATCCTTGATTTTAAGGAAATGGTTACCTCTCTTTTCTATAGTTGACTTTGAACTATAGTTTTTATTGGACATTTGTGTTCCATAGTGAAGTGGTGGATGATGCTAGATCTAGAGTCAGTCCCAAGTTTGTTCTAAAAAATCCCATTAGTCTACTCTTTCTCTGTCCACCTCCATACCGTGGAGTGGCCTAGATGGCTCCATTCCTGCTGTTTTCTCCTCTTCTTCTCCCTGGAATACATACAACTTATTCAAACACATTTCTTAACATTTCAGTGTTAGGTAATTAAATGCTTTTAACAAATCGTCAGATATGTTTTGTTCTAGTTTTTTTTTTTTTTTTTTTGGTTTTTGTTTGGTTTTTCATCAAGTGAAAGATGTAGGAATGTAACTCTGATAAGAAATTGTGTAAGTTTGGCAAAAGAGGAAAAAGTACAATGCTTTATTAATAACTGAAGGTTTGAAAATATTTGAGTGAGTGAACAGGCACGTTGTATTCTTGCATAAACAAATCTTCCAAGATCGTTTCAGATTTAATAAAGCCCCAGCAAAGTAGCCATGTAATTTGCAAATGATTTTAAATTCTGTTGAAAATGAATAGCTGAGAAAATGTTGAAAAGAAAGGAAGTACAGACTTGGTATTACAGATATCTCCACACTGTACATATTATAATGGCATGGTAATCAAAACACGGATGTTCACAAATCAGCAGACAGATCCATTTCAGAGAAACAGACAAACAGAAACATGAAGCTTCATAGACTGCTTGGGGAGATGAAACCATCTAAATGAGTTTGGGAAATCAATTAAAATAGGCCATCTACACCAAAAGATACCAAAATAAGTTTGGGCTATATTTAAGAATTGAATATAAATCTAGAAGCATTAATAAAAGAAATGGGTACTAGTTGCTTTTATGTAAGTAGCATGGGTGAAACAAACACAGGACTTTGGAGTGAATGTGGGAAAATTGATGTCCTTAGCTGAGAAGAGCTGTGTAGGTTAGTAAGTGAATCACAGTAGCATACCCATCAGACTAAGAAAAGAATACTTTCAAGTTTGTTACTTAAAAAATACATACTAGAAGTATTGTGAAATGGCTGATTAGGTATCAGATTGAACAATATTTTTAAAGATGAAATCCTGAAGGTCGATAGCATTGTAAAGGACAATTCTTCTAGAAAGACATTTAAAAATGGATTAGACCCTTAAGAATAGTCACATCTTTTGGCATTATAGTTCCAGTTTTTAATCTTTTCCTGAAAAAGTAATGCTAAGGAGCCAGCAAGATGACTCAGCGGGTGAAGGCACTTGGCACAAAGCCTGCCAACCTGAGTTCATCCCTGGAGCCCAGGGAAAGGAGAAGGAAGGAACCAACCTCATAAAGTCATCCTTAGACTTCCCTAGGGCTCTGGCCCTACACACACACACACACACACACACACACACACACACACACACACACACACACACACTTTGAAAAAGAACTAATGGTGAGGTGTTTATAGCATATTGCTTTTATGTTGATAGTTTAAGACTAAGGTTATCTTGTTATAGTAAAGTGTGCAGATATTAAGTGCGTAGGTATTAATTAGTGAGCTTTGACAGTGAGTATATCATGAAAGTATCTTCTAGATCACAGCCCACAACATTTTCTAATATCCAGAAACCTCTCTCACTCAATGCTGCCCTCTCACCAAAAGTGACCTTTCATGACCTCCATTGTGGTTATATTTATTTTGCCTACTTTTGAATTTAATAAAACATTACTTAATAGAAAAAAATTGAAATATCAAAGAGCAAACAAATTAAGTTGCTAGTTCTCTGTAGTATGGAGTAATATGATAGCCATTAAAAGTGATTGGATCCAAAGTTTCAGTTTGGAAAAGTGAAGAAGTTCTAGTAATGGGTGGTGGTGGTAGTCACACAACAATTTGAATGTACTTCATGTTACCAAACTATACACTTAAAAAGGTTAGAATGGTGTACACCTTTAATCCCAGCACTAGGGAGGCAGAGGCAGGTGGAACTCTTTGAATTTGAGGACAGCCAGGGCTATGTAGAGAAACCCTATCTCAAAAAACTAAGCTAAACTAAACTAAACTAAAAATGTTTAAAAGGTTAGAATGCTAAATTTTAAGCTGTATATCTTTTAGTACAGTTTTTTGTTTTGTTTTTTGGAACAGGTCTCTCTGTTGCCCTGGCTGTCATGGAACTCACTCTGTAGATTAGGCTTAGTGTACACCAGTACTTCTGGTTTGGTTTACTGACTTTTAAAATTATTTCTTCAGCTGGGTGGTGGTGACACATGCCTTTAATTCCATCACTTGGGAGGCAGGCAGATCCCTGAGTTCAATGCCAGCCTGATCTACAGAGTGAGTTCCAGGACAGCCAAGGCTACACAGAGAAACCTGTGTCAAAAAACCAAACAAGAAAAAAAAAATATTTTTTCAAAGCTTAGTGTCTTTACCTATTATCAAAATGTTTGTCCAGGCCTAATTCAAGGTAACAATCTTTACTTTCAACCATTTCTTCATGATAAAATCATTGCTGGGGCTTGAGAGGTGGATCAACAGTTAAAAGCCCTAGCTGCTCTTCTAGAGGTCCTGGGTCTGATTCCCAGCACCCATGGAATGGCTCACAACCATCTGTAACTCATCCAAGGGGATCAGACACCCACTTTCAGCCTCCGTGGGTATCAGTCAAGCATGTGGTACATGTATGTGTACACAAAATACTCATACACGTAAAAAAATAAAATGATTGTGATTTTCATTGACTATCTGTACTAATGGAGTATTTTCTCCACAGGTATTGAATTGAAGCACCTTTGTTTGGAATATATGACCCCATGGCTGTCAAATCTAGTTCGTTTTTGTAAGCATAATGATGATGCCAAACGACAAAGGGTTACTGCCATCCTTGATAAGCTAATAACAATGACCATAAATGAGAAGCAGATGTACCCTTCTATCCAAGCAAAAATATGGGGAAGCCTTGGGCAGGTATTGAATTTGCACTGATACTTATCTAGTGCCTCCTTGTGTTAGTAATTCTTGGTGCCCACGTTCGTTATACAGAGCACATCATTCTCTCCTTCAGAAACATACCCAACCCTGTAAATAGCTAATGCATTTCAGAACTCTCCTTCTTGCATAATATACTGTTAAATATAAAGTTTAACTGTAGAAGCCTGTTGTCATTCCTAGTAAATAGTGTTTAAATATGTACCCCAGTCCCTATACACCACAGATCTCAGTAAATGCTTCTTAATGCTATTGTTCAGAACATCTGGTTTCATTTCTAGTTGTAGCATAGGCTACATAGATACAACTTTCCTTAATCTGACAAGGGGGTGCATATTATTCCTTCAGAATAATCGCTTAAGGAAGCAGATTCTTATTCAGACAATGCTGTGAATGCTCTAACTGATTTTAAATGACTTTGGAGCCAATTTCCTGGCTGTATGATGTCGTTAAAGTAATTAGATTGGTCATGTGTTACAGTCTTAGAGAAGCACAGAGGTACTTGCTGAGCAGCTGAAGATAGGCATGTACAGATGTTTAAACTCTGATCACTGGTCTTACTCTGGAGGAATCAGGAAACAGCCTCATCCTTCCCTCTATGGTTTACAGATCCCTAAGCCTAGAACTTTGAAAAATCTGGGGGAAACAGGACATTTCTGCTTCTTAGGCTCCTTTGAGTGTTTTTAATTAAAGGCTAAGTCATCAGTGTGCTTGAAAACAACAAGACTTTCCTTATTTCACCAGATCACAGATCTGCTGGATGTTGTGCTTGACAGTTTCATCAAAACCAGTGCTACAGGAGGGTTAGGGTCTATCAAAGCTGAGGTGATGGCAGATACAGCCGTGGCTTTGGCTTCTGGAAATGTGAAATTGGTGTCAAGTAAGGTAACCACTTTTTCTGTACCTCTTGGACTATGCCTTAGTATTTCTGTTTATCATCTTGAAAGTTTTTGTCTTATAACTAGCTAAGGTAAGACTTTGTTTAGTTAAGAGGCAGTGTGGGTGGCGGGGTGGGGTGGGGTGGGGGGGTGCTATGGCTGTCTGTGTGCACATATGTGCCATGGCTTACATGTAGAAGTCAGAGGATAACTTATAGGAGTTAGTTCTCTCCTTCCACCAGATGGGTCCCAAGGATCAAACCCAAGGTATGGGCTTGACAAGGAGCGCCTCAGCCTGCTGAGCCGTCCATTTCATCGAGCCTGAGTTTATTTTTCTTTTATGTGTGTGACTGGACACGTGTGTGTGCACCACATGTGCATTGTCTGCAGAGGCCAGAAGAGGGTGTTGGATCCCTGGAACTAGAATTGCAGATGGTTGTGAGCTGCCATGTGGATGCTGGCAAAGACCAAAGTCTTCTGCAAGAGCAGCTGTTGCTTCTAACCTCTGACATCTCTCCAATCCCCTAAACTTTTTTATGAAGAAACTTTTAGTCTTGTGTTTTTAAAACATGTTCTTCTTTACAGGTTATTGGAAGGATGTGTAAAATAATTGACAAGACTTGCTTATCTCCAACTCCAACTTTAGAACAACATCTAATGTGGGACGATATTGCTATTTTAGCACGCTACATGCTGATGTTGTCCTTCAACAACTCCCTTGATGTGGCAGCCCATCTTCCCTATCTCTTCCACGTTGTCACTTTCTTAGTAGCCACGGGGCCCTTGTCCCTTCGAGCGTCCACACATGGATTGGTCATTAATATCATTCACTCTCTGTGCACTTGTTCACAGCTGCATTTTAGTGGTAAGTTCCTAGAGGGCAGTCTTTTGTTTTGTTTTTCCCCTTTGGGTTTTCAAGCCAGGGGAAGCTGATCTTTTTTACTAGGTCTTTTCTCAGCTTTACCTTACCTGACTGCTGTAGGTTTCTTACTGTGATGGTATCGTCTCACCAGGCATACAAGCAGTATTTGAAACTCTATCTAACAAGAAAATAGTAAAATAGTAAAAATGACTTGTATGCCATGGCAAGCTACAGTAAAGGCTTTCTATGTTTGTCATGTAGGTAGTTGTAATTAGCATATAACCTAAAAGCTTACTGTAAATTGATAGTGTTGCATTACTAATGCCAGTATGTTATGTAGCCGCTAATACATCTGGAGATTTGACTTAGGGAGCATGGTTGTGTGATTTTTTTTTTTTAACATATTTAAATGTTCTTGAATTCAAGATGAAACATAGCACTTTAGAATTAAAATATTGCTATTTTCTTTTTCTTTTACAGAAGAGACCAAACAAGTTTTGAGGCTCAGTCTAACAGAATTCTCATTACCCAAATTTTACTTACTGTTTGGCATCAGCAAAGTCAAATCCGCCGCTGTCATCGCCTTCCGCTCCAGTTACCGGGACCGGTCTTTCTCCCCAGGCTCCTACGAGAGGGAGACTTTTGCTTTGACATCCCTGGAGACAGTCACAGAGGCTTTGTTAGAGATCATGGAGGTACAGAAGGGAAAATGACAAGAAACTAAATTAAAATCATATTTTAAATATGGAATATGCAGGGTGTGGTGGCACAAGCCTTTAATCTTATCACACAGGAGACAGAGGCAGGTGGATTTCTGTGAGTTTGAAGCCAGCTGAGTCTATGTAGGGAATTCTGGGCCAGCCAGGGCTACATAGTAATACCTTGTCTGAAAAATAATTTTGTAGTATGCAGAGGAAATGCTGATTTGTTCTGTTATATTACACATAGAACTTAAGGTATTTCTTTAGAATATGTTCATTTTTTAAATTAGATCTATTTTACTTTTTGTGTATGAATGTTTTGCCTGCATGTATGTGTGGGCACCACATGTGTTACTGGTGCCCAAGGATCAGGAGAGGAGTTCAGAAGAGGAGGACAGACATCAAATTCCCTAGAACTGGAGTTACAGATGGTTATGAACCACTTTGTGAACAACCTCTATCCTCTTCAAGAACAAGTGCTCTTATCGGCTGAGCCATCTCCAGTCTCTGGAATGTGTTTTTATAACAAATATCACTTAATAACATGATGAACATTAAATGTTCTAGAAACCTTTGTGTACATATATGTATTCAGAGTATCCTGTTTTTCAGGCATGCATGAGAGATATTCCAACATGCAAGTGGCTGGATCAGTGGACAGAACTAGCACAAAGGTGTGTCCTAAGTGAACTAGAAACTGGAAAGGACGTGTATTGTTGAGAATAGCTCTTGCAGCATAATCAGGCTTGTGTTTGTGTGCAGAAACACAAAGATTTTCATAAGTTCTTTGGCTCTTTTCATTGCAGATTTGCATTTCAGTACAATCCATCCCTGCAGCCAAGAGCTCTTGTGGTGTTTGGCTGTATTAGCAAACGTGTGTCTCATGGGCAGATAAAGCAGATTATCCGAATTCTTAGCAAGGTACTTACTCCACTTTTCCTAAAAATTTTCCCAAATTACAAATTATACTTTCCAGTTTTAAAAACAATTAAAATTCAATTAAATCTATATTTTAAAACAATTTTTCCTTACTGTAATTCTTTGAAGTGATGAAATCTTGTCTAAGAAAATACCTTTAAGTTCAATGTGGTGATGCACGCCTTTAATCCCAGCACTCTGGATACAGAGGCAGGTGGATTTATGTGAGTTTGAGGCCAACCTGGTCTGCATAGTGAGTTCCAGGACAGCCAGTGCTACATAATAGAGGGAACCTGTCTCAAAAATTACAAAAAAAAAGAAAAATCTTTTTTAAAAAAATGTTGGCTCATTTCTAATCATGTACACTCAATAGTCTCAGTTTTTAAAGCCTTATAACCTTATATAAAGCTACATAATTCATAATTAATATAATAATGCACTTCTTATTAGCATGTAATATAGAAATATTTTTAAAATAAAAAACCAATTTACAGTGTTCACTATTATTAGAAATTGTTTGTCACATAAACTACTTGTCAAATACCTAAATGTTTCTCAGCTAAATCTGAGCTTTATTATAGGAACTGATGTTTTATTTCAATGAAAAGTGAAATAAAGATTTCTGTTTTCCTAAAAGGCACTTGAGAGTTGCTTAAAAGGACCTGATACTTACAACAGTCAAGTTCTGATAGAAGCTACAGTAATAGCACTAACAAAATTACAGCCACTTCTTAATAAGGTAATTATTGCATAGAGCATAAATTTATTCTTTTTGGGTATTGTTACTGTGTTCTTTTCTTGTACAAAGTTTAGAAAATGAGGTGATTATAAAGAAGAAATTATAGTCAAAGTGAGTCTCTTATCATAAGAGTTAGAAAATAAGGTGGTGGCCCACACCTTTAGTCCCAGCACTAATGAAGTAGAGGCAGGTCAGTCTCTGTGAGCATGAGGACAGCCAGGGCTACCTAGAGAATACTTGTCTCAAAGAGAAAGGAAGGGTTAGGGGAGAAGGAGAGGGAGAGAGGAAGAGTGGGAGACTAATAAAGTATTTGTTGAGGATCTTCTGTGTATCTGGTAGTGCTTAGAGATATACCAAACCAAGTTAGTAAAGGTGTCCTGTATCTGGGACGGGTATGGATGTTGAGAAGGGGACGGATAAAGTCAGTAAAGTACTACTTAGTGTGTTAATGAGCATCACTCTAGAGAAATGTAAAGCCAAGAGAAGTATACCTGCTCATCAGAAGAGTTTATATGTGTAAAATAAAATAAAATTAAATTAAAAAGAAAAAAGAAGAGTTTGTATGCTGGGCTAGAGGTGCAATCAAAGATAGAGCACTTGCTTAGCATATACAAGACCCTGGGTTCATCTCTACCAAGAGACGGGGAAGGGAATAAGGGAGAGATGGAATATATATGAGTGAATAAGAGTTTATACTAGTAAGAATGAAAAGTTGAAAGGGTAGAGTCTAACTAGAACTAGAAATAAGTAGGACAGTGGAGTTGTGGATAGACCATTCTAGCAGAGAGTCAATAGAGAAAATTGTAAAGATTGAATAGAATTAATCTGCTATTCAATAGTCTTCAGAAAGGAGTTTGGAAACTGCAGGACACAGGTGGCCCCGAGTGCACAGTAGATCAGGGAAGGAAGGAGTGCAGGCTGAAGGAAGGGAAGCCTGCAGATGAACGGTCTGCAGGTGTCAGTGATCACTGCAGAAGCGTCAGCAAGCCCTGGAGACTAGATGTGGCATCCAGAATTGAAGGGGATCCCAGAGGAAGCTTAGGCCCTAAGCCTAGTTGATGGTATTTTTCATTAGACACATGGAGGGGACCAAGTGAATCTGTCTATTCATGTTCCCCAAAGGAGAGAAAACCCAGAAATGAGGTGAGGTAACCTGCTTTGTTGATGCTGCAGAATGCAGGAAGAGATGATTGTTTGGTTTGCCACACTAACCTGGAGTGTCTCCTTGGCCAGGACTCCCCACTGCACAAAGCCCTCTTCTGGGTTGCTGTGGCTGTGCTGCAGTTGGATGAAGTCAACTTGTATTCAGCAGGCACTGCACTTCTGGAACAAAACCTGCACACCTTAGATAGTCTCCGGATATTCAATGACAAGGTGAGTAGGCATTCCTCTGAGTTCTGCATTGCTCACAGTGAGTCTTCTTTTCCTTCTCTTCTAGAGTTCTTTAGAAATTGAAAGTGACCCATAATCTAAACATGAATTTAATGCATCTTATTGTAAGTATAGTTCCTTAGTAGGTCACTAAAAACTACTTAATCCATAGTTCCAATATAGAAATAGCCAAGAACAATATGCCCTGCTCTTAGTGATTAGAATAGTAATAAGTAGGGCTGGAAAGATGGCTCAGCAGTTGGGAGCACTGACTGTTCTTCCCAGCATCCACTGATGGCTCACAACCATCTCTAACTCCAGCCCCAGAAATTCATTGCCCTTTGTGGCCTCCTTGGGCACTGCACACATCCATACATGGAAGCAAAACACTTACAAACATAAAATAAGTAAATATAATTTTTCTTAATTTTAAAGTAGTAATTTTAAAGTAGTACTGAGAAGTAATAGTAGCTATCACACCAAGCTCTGTGCATTCATTATTGCTGATTTTCATTCTCTGTCCCCATATATATATATGAGACTTTATTTTTCAGTTATTCAATAATAAAGCTTATTTTTATTGAAAAATTATACTTCATAAAAATCTGTACAATTAGTAACAGATAAGGAAGTTGGAGAATCTAAAGAGAAGTTTTGGATACTTAATTTTATTAGTTTTCTTTCCCCCTTTGCCTAATCTCACTTTAAAGTATATCATTAGTGGCCTCCTTCACATTTATTAACCTAGATAAGAGGTTGAATTTTGGCTCAGAGTATAGAGGATAAAATTAAACAGTATAAAATTGGCTAGGGATGTGGCCTAGCAAGGTGAGGTACTTACCACTGAGCCAGACAACCTGACTTCAGTTCCCAGGACTTACATAGTGATATAGTAGAAGCATGTGTTCACTAAATAAATGAAAAATATTGTTTCAAGCCAGTGCAAAATTATACGTTTGTTTTGGAGAAAAATGGAAAGAGCCTAAGAGAAGATTCTTTTGAAAAGAGAATGTGTGTGTACATGTGCATACATTTGTGTTTGAAATGTCCTTGAAATGAAATGAACTGAGCTGTGGGGAAACAGAGCATGACCCAAGTATGAAGATGCCTGGTCTGCAGTACTTGTTCAGTGCATATAGTGTGGTATAGACCCAGAAGAGCTGGAGGTCTGGGAAGTGTGGGAACGAAGTGAGAGGTAGGAGACACCTTGAAGTTGGTCAGTCAGACCTCTTCACAGAAGGGGCGGGAGTGAAGACGTAGGTCCTGGAATGTGTCTGGTTCTGAGCTAGTTCTTTACTCACTGTATTGTTCTACTCTGGAGTTGTCTGAAGATAATGGTGGGTTCCAGTAGTGGCTAGCTATTGGCTATTTGTACTTTAAGAATATTTACAAATAAAATACATATCTTTAAAGCAGCTGTCTTGCCATTTTCTTTCTTTCACATGTGCTTACATGTTTGTTGGGGTGAGTGCATGTCACAGTATTTGTGGAGGTCAGAGGACAACTTGTGGGAGCCATCTCTCCTACCATGTGGCTTCCAACGCTTGAACTCAGGTGATCCAACTTGGCAGCAAGCACCCTTAACTACTGAGCCGTCTCTTCAGCTCCTGCCTTGACATTTTCACTTCTGGAACATCATAGGAGGGACTAAATCTTGATGCCAGGGCTTCAAAGTACTAGAAATCAGAGTTAATAAAGCTTTATTGAGATCACCAGAATATTTTCTGGGATGGTAGAGTCAGAGTAATAGTGCATGCCTCTAGGTCCTGCTACTTGAGAGGTTAAAGCAGACGTTTTAAACCTACATAGGCAACATAGTGAGTCTCTGTGAGTTTGATTATCAGTCAAAAGTAGCTGGACATTTTGGCTGATGGCTATAGTCTTAGCACTTGAGAGGTATAGACAGAAAGTGTTAGCCAGCCTTTGCTACATAACAGGTTCAAGGCCAGCCTGGGATAGATGGGATTCCATTTCCAAAAACCAACATCAAAAAAATAAATAAATAAAACAGTAGCTCAAAATTGTATATTGTGGGCCTGCAGATGTAGCTCAGTGATAGAGTGCTTGCCTAGCATACACGAGGCCCTGGGTTCTATCCCTAGCACACCCCAACACACACACACACACACACACACACACACACACACACACAAATCATTGTTGTTAAATCAAAGCAATTTGAGTTTTCCACTATCTTACTACTTATCTTTTGGACTATCTTACATTTATAGTACCCTAAATATTTTTGTAGGGGTTCCTGTTAACTAAAAATTTCTCTGAAATAAAGAATTACTTAGTGCGTCATAGCTGTTCAATGCAAACAAAAAAGTAAGTTTTTAAACAAAGTGTCTGAGCCAGGAATATAGATAGCTCAGTAGACTTGGGGTTCTAGTCCTGGAAAATGAAAAAGGACATTTCTGCGTGAACTCCATCAACTGTATACCCCTGGTTGTTTTTAATAGAGTCCGGAAGAAGTCTTTATGGCGATCCGCAATCCTCTGGAGTGGCACTGCAAGCAAATGGATCACTTTGTCGGACTCAACTTCAACTCTAACTTCAACTTTGCACTAGTTGGACACCTCTTAAAAGGTAAAGATTCCTTTGTCAGGACGTTTCATGAAGTAGTATTGAGAAGCCAAAAATAACTAAAAGGAATTGATTACTGAGATAAATTGATGTAATCTAACCTATATGTTTTACTCTAAAATGAAAAGTATATCTGCATGAGTTGTTTGAATTAGTAAATATTTAACTAGAACCTAATTTTCATATCAGATCTTAAAAGAGAAAGTAAAATTCCTAAACACTGAGCACTTAATTACTGTGTTATTGATTAACAGTACACTGAATATTTGTGTTATTTCATATATGTACATTACAGAATGTTATTGTACAGATTTAATCACAAAAGGCTTAGGGATTAACCCTTGTCCAAGGTTGGGTTCAATCTCCAACATTGCCAAGGATTAAAAGGAATTTCCAGTTTAGTGTGCATTGATGTTCAGATAGGATCGTACTCTTCAACTTGTTTCTAGCATGTTCTCTATCAGCACTCTTGTACTGTGTACAAGTACTCATAGTACTATGTACTGTGTACCATTCTGGTACTGCTCTCTCTTGCAGATTTCATTGCTGTTTTGATAGCCAACCATCTCCGATAGACTAGAGCTAAGTCACTTTCTTACCTAGCTTTAGCTGCTCATTGCCAACTTCATAGCTCCATAGCCATGCTCTATTAAATAAATAAATAAATAAATAAATAAATAAATAAATAAATAAATAAATAAATAAATAAATAAATAAATAAATAAATATGTGTTAAGCTAGGCATGATGGTCCACACCTTTAATCCCAGCAATTGGGAGACAGAACCAGGTAGATCTCTTGAGTTCAAGGCCAGCCTAGTTCAGAGCTACATAGTGAGATCCTGTCTCAAAAATCAAAAGACAAAAAAAAAAAAAGAAGAAAAAAGAAAAAGAAGAAATAATTTTTAAAGATTTATTTTTATTTTATGTGTATGAGTGTTTTGCCTTTGTGCATGTATGTATAACACCTGAAAGTTTGTTACCTGAGGTGGCCAGAAGACATACTGGACCCCTGGAACTGAAAGTATAGGTGATTGTGAGCCAGTCTGTGGGTCTTCCGAGCCAAACTCTGACCCTCTGTAAGAGCAGCCAGTGCTCTTAACTGCTGAGCCGTTGCTCCAGCCTCGTGAAACACTTTTGAAGTAGTAGAGCCTTACGTCAAATGAAATCTCAAGGGGAATGCTAATGCTTAGTTTTGTTTGTGTTTATTTCTAACCTCTGTGCTTCTTTAGGAAATGAAAAATCAATAATGCCATCATCTTTTCTAACGCCCTCTCCTTTAGGGCTCCAGGGAACAGCCTCTTCTACACGTGTGGGATACGTAATCTAATGTATAATTAACTTCACATTTTCATGTTTGACCTTTACAAATGGCTATTCTTGGAGGCAGGAATTCTTCTTTTGTGGTAGAGTTATTTGTCACAGCATAAGAGCTCAAGCATTTGTTCATGGACTAAGTTAACTTGTTATTTGTTTTTTTTTTATAGGGTACAGGCATCCTTCACCTGCCATTGTTGCAAGAACAGTCAGAATTTTGCATACACTACTAACTCTTGTTAACAAACATAGAAATTGTGACAAATTTGAGGTGAATACACAGAGTGTGGCTTACTTAGCAGGTAAAAGCACAAAATTGACAAAATTAGTCTAACTGTATCATTGTCTTAGGATCACCAAAAGATACCCATGCCTAGCTTTGGGTCTTTGCAGCTAGATCTTTGGCCAAATAGAGCATTCACAGTTTATTCACAGTTTTGCCAAAACATTTTTTATTATAAAAGAATATCTGAAATGTCCTAAAATTGAATTGCCTCAGCCTATCATCCCAGGCCTTCACACCCTCTTTTCTATCCTCAATCTAAATTTCATGAGCATCTCTTTTTCATGAGCATCTCTTTTTCATGAGCAGATCTTTCCAAATGGGCAGGCTATTTCAAACCAGTCTGCTTGCTGTCTCCTACTGGGCTTCCTGCCTCTTTAGTATTCATTCTTTGTGCTATTTTACCCGGGTGCCTGTCCCGTCACCACCATTCACTGAACTGTATAACTCTGTCTTATCTAGTATTTACTGCATTCTACTCAAACAATATAGTTTGATGTGGTTTGATGGAAGATGCTATTCTCATTTTAGCAAACTTCCATTTTTTGCCAATTACTTTGTTTCAAGCATATAACCTTGAACAAACTATTTTACATCCCAGAATATTTTTATCAGTGCATTTCAGATACATGCTCTGCCTGCTTTTTGTGATTATTGAAACCAAATAGGCGATCAAGTACTTGAGAAAGTAAGGTGTTTATGTAATTTCTTTGTGTGTTTCAGTTTATGCAGACTGTAAACTCTTGAGGATAAGTCTATCCTGCGTGTTTATACACTTCAGTCTCACAGTCTCCAAGGCTTTTTGTGTGTACATGTAATAGTAATAACCCCTTAAGTTTGGAAGAAATGAATCCTGTTGTAGGTCACACGTGTTTTTCACAGTGTTTTTTATGTGCTTTTCCTTTTCCTGTTAGCTCTACTCACAGTGTCTGAAGAGGTTCGAAGTCGCTGTAGCCTCAAGCATAGGAAGTCCCTTCTTCTTACTGATATTTCAATGGAAAATGTTCCTATGGATACATATCCTATTCATCATGGTGACCCTAGCTATAGGTATGTGGACATGGTATCATAATTACATAATTATAGTCAGCCTTCAATTTTCACACGATAGAGACTAGCAACAAAGTAATCTAGAAGGGGGCAGAGTGGCAACTCAGGATGGTCTATCAGGTGTAGAAGTAAGAGCTCCTCTACAGATGCACGCTAGTTTATTTGGGCAGTATTAAAGTTATTCTAGTCTGTTCTGATAGTATCATTAGTTCACCTCATTAAACACAGACACTTGAATAATGAAGAAATACCATCTTGAAAGGTTTGGTTACAGAAAAGGACCTGGAGAAAAAACTAACCTGAAATCATTGCATGTCTAAAAACTAAGTTATATGGGGCAGAAGAGTTGACTCAGTGGTTTAAAACACTGTATTTTTTTTTCATCTTTTAGATTTACTTGTTTATTGCATAAACGGTGCTCTGCCTACATTTGTCACTGCAGGCCAAAAGAGGACACCAGATCTCATTACATATGGTTGTGAGCCACCATGTGATTGCTGGGAATTGAACTCAGGACCTCTGGAAGAACAGCCAGTGCTCTTAACCTCTGAGCCATCTCTCCAGTCCAGCATTTGTATTCTTGCGGAGGACCTGGGTTCAGTTCCCAGAACCCAAATGGTTGCTCACAGCCATCTGTAGCTGAAGTTCCAGAGGATCTGACACCCTCTTTTGACCACTGTGGGGCACACACATGGCAAATATACATATAGGCAAAACTCACATACACATGAAGTAAATAAAATCTTTTTTAAAGGTGATATAGATTGATAAAAACATTTGCATGCACTGTACAAATGTCATTAACATTAAAAACCTTTCTATAGTGTAGTTTTACTGTTGTTACTTTGATACAAGGTCTGGCTATGTGTCCCTGACTGGTCTGGAACTCAGTATGTAGAGTAGGCTGACCTTGAACTCACAGAGATCTGCCTCCCCTAAGTGCTGGGATTAAAGGCATTCACCACCACACCCAACTTCTGTAATATAGGTTTATATGATAGAATCATAAAATTATGTCTACTATTATACATGGCTTTGTATAGGTTTTTTATTCCCCAGTATAACTGCTATCTTTGGGGGATTATTCTATAATGTGGATTGAACAAAAATATCTTTAATGTTTGGATACAGTGTTGAACATAGGAAAGTAATCTTTGAGAGGTCATGTCATTAAACTTACTGAGACCTTCCTTTTTGATTGTAAGAAGACCTCCTCAGCACTTGACTGAGACTTCAACAATGCATGCAAGTTTTCCTGATAGACACAGTGTTTAGTAGCCTTATTTCTTCAGTCATTCCCATGAGTTTATTTCTTCACCCCTTCTTTTAGTTATGCAAAGTAACTTAGTTGCCTATATTTGGGAAAGCTTAATTCTCAAACTTAATATTACTGATTTTGTTTGTTTTTGTTTTTGTTTTTCAAGACAGGGTTTCTCTTTGTAGTTTTGGTGCCTGTTCTGGATCTCGTTCAGTAGACCAGGCTGGCCTGGAAATCACAGAGTTCTACCTGGCTCTGCTTCCCAAGTGCTGGGATTAAAGGGCGTGCACCACCACTGCCCGACAATATTACCGATATTTAAATGATGCAATAATACAATTGCTTATTTAGACTTTTATTTTCTATGATTATAAAATTCAATGCAAGCTGGGTGGTGGCGGTACATGCCTTTAATCCCAGAGGCAGAAGCAGTCAGATCTCAGTGAATTCGAGGACAGCCAGGACTGTTACACAGAGAAACCCTGTCTCTAAAAACCAGAAGGGAAAAAAGGAAGGAAGGAAAGAAAGAAAAGAATAAGATTCAATGCAGTAAATTCAATAGGTCTATTATTCAACATCAATTAATGACATGTATTTATTATATATTTGAAAAGTGCTAAGGTAAAAGATGTTAAGTGTTCTCACCACAATAAATGACAAATGTATAGGGTAATACATGTCCTAAATTAGCATATTTTAGGCATTCTATGTGTGTACATTTTTTAAAACATGTTGCACACAGTACAAATAGACAATTTTTATTTGTTAAATTGAAAAGTTTGTTGCCATATGTGGTGGCAAATGCCTGTCAGTCCCTATAGGCAGGAGGATCAGGAATTCAAGGTCATCCTTAGCTATGTAGAGAGTTTGAGGCCAGCCTTGGCTACATAAGTCCATGTTTCAAAAACAAACAAAATAGAGGCTAGAGATGTAGCTCAGTTAGTAGAGAATTCTTTTCTAATATGCATAAAGTCGAGTTCAGTCACCAGTCCTGCAGAAAACTGACTGTGGGAGCAAACACCTGTCACCTCAGCACTTGGGAAGACCAGAAGTTTAGTGTCATCCTTGGCTTCATAGTGAGTTCCAGGCTAGCCTGAGACCCTAGCTCAATCAATCAATCAATATAGAAGTAATTTAGGGTTTAGAACACTTACCATGCATATGTGAGGTTCGGGATTCAATCCCTGTACTGCAGAGGGAAAAAATTAACAAAACTATGCAGTATATAGTTCTTTCTATGTAACATTGATACTTCTGGGGATACATTAGGAGTTGTTTGTACAACTAAGAGCCAGCTGTAATGATACATATCTGTAATGCTAACATTCTGAAAACTAAGGCAGAAGGATTAAAACAAGTTTAATCCCAGCATTCGGGAGGCAGAGCCAAGCAGATCTCTGAGTTCTGGGCCAGCCTGGTCTACAGAGAGAGATCCAGGACAGGCACCAAAACTACACAGAGAAACCCTGTGTGGTGGTGGTGGGGGGGGGAAGTGGGGGTTGTGCAGTTTTCAAATTAATTTATTATTGCCATCATTAGGAAATAGGATAGCTTTAGGAATGAGTGAACAGTGGTTATATTTGTCATCTTCTTGTTAATTATTTCTTCTAAATTGTTTAAATCTCTCAGGACACTAAAGGAGAACCAGCCATGGTCCTCTCCCAAAGGTTCAGAAGGATACCTTGCAGCTACCTACCCATCGGTAGGCCAGACCAGTCCCCGAGCCAGGAAATCCATGAGCTTGGACATGGGGCAGCCTTCTCAAGCCAACACAAAGAAATTGCTTGGTTAGTTTATCTTAATTTTGTATAAATTTTTACGTGATTGTTACTGTGAAAAATGGTTTAGCTACTTTCTCTCTTGGAATTATTTTGAAACTATTTAGATTGCCAACGTTTACTGTTTTGATGTAACAAAATCTTTTGTGACTTTAATTTTATTTATTTACTTAATGTGTGTGAGTGTTTTGCCTGCATTTGTATGGGTGTGTACCACATATGTGCCTGGTGCCCATAGTTGCCAGAAGAGTATCATATTTCTTGGAACTGAAGTTACAGACATTTGTGAGCTTCCTGTGCTTGCTGGGAACTGAACCGGGGTCCTCTGGAAGAGTGGCAAGTACTTTTAACTATTGAGCCATCTCCCCAGCCCTTGTATGGCTTTTATAAGGGAGTTTGATTTTGATAAGATAGCTGTATCTTTGAGAATGAAACTTTAGGATGGCTTTTAATTTGGTTTTTATTTCTGTGTTTTTAAGTACCGTGGCTTTTGATTTTTTTGAGCAGCAGACAGTATAAGAGTCACTAGATACCTAGAAGAAGGGAAGCATTGATGTACTAGGGATCTATAAGGGTAACTTTCCCTAAATTGTCATTTTGGAAACAGAACATATCACTAAGATCTGAAAACAGTCAACCATATTTTCTTTGAAACAACAAAAAAGCAAGATACTTTTTTAATTAATAAGAGGCTAGCTCTTTTAGAAATTCATGTTTGTTTGTGCAGACACAGGTGGAGAGAAGAGGACAGCCTTGTGTTATGAGATCTCTCCTTCCACCTAGGTATTCTGAGCATTGAAGTCAGGCTGTCAGACCCTAAGACAAGCACCTTTACCTACCGAGCCCTCTTGCCAGCCGTGATTCTTAACAGTTAATGTTGCTCAGGTCTATGAACATTCCTATGGGAAGTGGATGTACAGTGCAAGTTCTCTCCTGTCCGGTAACTGAGAAGTGAATTCCTGAAAGAGAACCTTCACCAACCCACAGAGCAAGTGGGAGGCAGTGTTTGCTTTTTACTGGCCGCCATTTTCATTGTCACTTACATCTATTGGAGTGTATAATCAGTGATCATTAATGTGAATGTGGATTTCAGTTATCCATGCAAACATACTTAGTATCTTGAGATAATATTGTGAAAACATTTGTGTTCATAAGGAAATTGGTGAGCAGACAACAAAGTATAACGCAAATAACCTTCCAGTAAATGTTAAAAGGAGAAATAACAAATGTCAGTCATTGTTACATAGATCTGTCACCTTCTATTTGAGTTCCTTTCTGTTAATCCTTTGTCATCAGTAATGGCAGGAGTTTCCTGGTTACTTTGTGTTTTGTAATTATGGATTTTTATACCAAGGAAGTTGTAAGTGAAAAATTAACCTCAGAGAAAATGTGCTATTAAATTCCTTCAAACTTGTTCTAGGTAGAAAGGATAGGGTCTCTGTCCTTCAAAGAAGGGATTATTCTTTGTTAGCTATGACTTAAAATCAGCTGATAACAATAGTATATGTCAGATGACATTAAACTGATAATATTTCGATGAAGAAACAAAGAATCTTAGGAAATTAAGAGGTAAAATTTGAGCAGATGTAGGATGGAATACACAGTAGCCAGGCAGACTGATGAGAGGCATGCGTTCAAGAGAGGAAGTGTGGCGGCTGAAGAGTGTGGGAGAGCGCCTGGCAGTAGACCAGCGTTAGAGGAAAGTCCACAGGAAATGAGGCTGGAGAAGGGCAGCATGGCCCTGAGATCTCTGCTGTGGCTGGGCCTGCTGGCTCAGTTTGAATCCCAGCACTTGGAGGCAGGGGTGCACGTCTGTGAGGCCAGCCTAGTCTACACTGAATTACAGAACAGCCAGAGCTTTGTAGAGAGATACTGTCTCACACAACAACAAAGAGCCTGCCATGATGAGAGATGTATCATATCACACATCCAACAGAGAGACCTTGAATTAAGGAACAAAATGTATTTGGGGGGGGGGGCATTTTCCTGATAGCAGTGTGGAGAAAGGTCTTTTTCAAGGGGACCATTTGTAAGATTGATTCTGCAGTCTAAGAGAAAAAAAAAAAAAAACAAAAACAGTGCCAGCTCACGCTAAGGCAGAACCTTTGAAAAAATAGAGTCCAGTGTGAGGTGTATTTTCAAAGGAGAATGAAGAAAAGAGTTCATGCCTCACTGATGAATCGGGTGGGAAGAGAGAAAACTGTAAAAGATGGCCTAGGTTTCTGGCTTCAGTCCGGCATGATTGTGCTGCCCCTGACTCTTCTGCAGTGGAGGAGGAAGGAGCACAAGCAGGGGCCAGCCTAGGCCACAGAACATGCTTCAGGCTAGCACGGCCATGTAGCGGGCCTGTTGAGAAGTAAAATAGAAATTAAACAGCACTTACCTGACTGGCTGGAACTACCTTCTCCACTACTGGATATCTCTTCAAAGGAAATCAAATCAGTGTGTCGAAGAGATAGCTGCATTCTGTGTGGATTGCAGGACTCTTTACAACAGCAAAGAAAACAGAACAACATCACTGTCCAGCTGATAATGAACAGATAAAGAAGCATAGTTTTAAATTCAGATCTACAAATAATAGCCATAAGTATGAAATACTGTCATTTTGTGACAACATGGGTAGAGTTAGAGATTGCTGTGTTAAATAAGCCAGGCACAAAAACAAGTCCCACATGATGTCACTCACATGAAAGGTAAAATATGGTTCCCGTAAGTGTTAAGGATAGAATGATGGTCACCAGAGCCTGGTGGGCACTAAGGAGCAGGAGGCCTGCTTTCCTGCTGCACATTGGGCAGCCATGGAGAGCAGCAGTGCACCATATATTCAAACCAAAAGAAAGGTGTTTTGGTGTTCACCTTAAAGAACTGATAAAAGCCAGTACACCTTTAATTCCAGCAATTGGGAACTCTGTGAGTTCAAAGCTAGCCTGGTCTACATAGAATGTTCAGAGACAACCAGAGCTATATAATAGAGAGATTCTGTCTCAAAAAACAAACAGAAACAAACTGATAAATATTTGAAGAGTTAGATAATTGAGCTGTAGGAAGAGAAAGAAATCACCCAGGAGCAAGCATAAGTAAAAGAAAAGAAAAAGCAGGCCAAAATCAGTCGAGTGACTGTAACTGCAAGCATTTTAGAAAGCACGAATGGGTTTCAGGAAAAGTGGAGTTTGTAGCCTGGTCCCTGCAGGATCCTTAGCAGTGTGACCTCAGGCTAACCAGTTAACCAGTCATGGCTTCTTCCGTTTGCACAAAAGGAAGAGACTGGACTAGATTCTTCTAGATGAGTTGGCCTTGATATTTGTGATTTGTGGTTATTTATTAGTCTTAGTACATGAGGTCAGAACATTGTATTTGTCAAATAATCACTTGTCAGATTTTGTAATGGCTTCAAGTTTGGCTTTTAAAATGAATTCATTTAAGGTGTGCATTACAAACTTTTGTCTTTTCCTGTGTGTGTGTTTCGGGCATTAAACCAAGGTCCCACACTTGCTAGACAAGTACTCCACCACTGAGCTACACACTCAGCCCCACGCTGTTTCTTAAACTGCACCAAGAGACATTCTCTGAGTGTAAAGAGCAAAGATAGATCAATTCCATATAATGTGTTATAAATACTTGTACTTTAAATAAGAGGAAGACATTTAAATACCAGTATACATAATTGGGGAGCTCAAGGCCAAGTGTGAGACAGGATTGCTTGCACTTTTGAAGTGTCTCCTTGTATATCTAATTTTTAGTACTTCTAAGCATGCATATCTTGAACAATTAATGTCAGACTTTAATTTTTACTTGTTATGGAAATTGTTCATCCGTAGTGACTATTTCTTGACAACCAGCTTAATCTCCATGAAGAGGCTGTTCAGGTTTTTCTATTGCTTCCACTGACCAAAATCTACTCTGTCTTTGTTATCAATATTTGCTCTTCTTGGTGGAGTCTAGTTTACCCTCAGGATAGTAGATATAATCTGAAGCTCTTTAGACCAGTAAAGATCCTCCTTTCCTGGAAAGCTGTTGGCCAGACCCTTGAAAAGGAATGTTTTCAGCTTGTTTTGGACCCTTAAGTGAAAGCTTAAATTATTAGAATATTACTATTTGTAGACACTGTGGTTAATGACCTTTTATAACTTTTGTTTATAGGAACAAGAAAAAGTTTTGATCACTTGATATCAGACACAAAGGCTCCTAAAAGACAAGAAATGGAATCAGGGATCACAACGCCCCCCAAAATGAGAAGAGTGGCAGAAACCGATTATGAAATGGGTGAGAAACAAAGCTGATAAGTAATCTAGATCAGTGCAAACAGTGAAGAGTACAGGAAGGCACATTCATTCCAGCAGTCCTTAGGATGTTTAGGGCACAATATACAAACATGTACTCTTTTGTTTGGTTTTTTGTTTTTCAAGACAGGTTTCTCTGTGTAACAGTCCTGGCTGTCCTGGAACTCACTCTGTAGACCAGGCTGGCCTCAAACTCACAGAGATCCGCCTGCCTCTGCCTCCCAAGTGCTGGGATTAAAGACATGTGCCACCACCGCTAGGCAGAAACATGTACTCTTGTTCCAAAGATAAGCTCTCTATATCTCTAAAAGAAATTGGCCAGTGAAATATGTTGAAGGGGCAGAGGCAGGAGGATCACAAATTTGAGGTCTGATTCAGGTGGTGGTGCCCCACATTTTTAATCCCAATACTCAGGAGGCAGAGGCAGGTGGATCTCCGGGTTTGAGGCCAGCCTGATCTACATAGTGAGTTCTAGGTCAGTCAGTACTACATAGAGAAACCCTGTCTCACAAAACAAAACAAAACAAAAGCAAAAACAAAAACAAAAAACAAATTTGAGGTCTGCCTAGGCTACACTTGGAGGAGAGGCAGGCGGATCTCCATGAGTTTGAGGACTGATCTCCATAGACACTTCCAGGCCAGCCAGGACTACATAGTGGGACCATGCCTCAAAAAAAGTTTTATATATGTACAGCACTGCTAATCACTAGCTGATTGTTATGTTAGTGCATAGTAACTGATAGTTATTTTGATAATTAAGATGTCTTATTTAAAGAACTTATTTAAAGAACTGTTGAATTTAAGATGTAACATTAAAATATGTTGAGTAAAATAACCATAGATACTCTATCAATATGACTACTTACATTAATCTATATCCTACTGCAGAAACCCAAAGGATTTCCTCACAGCAGCACCCACATTTACGGAAAGTCTCAGTGTCTGAATCAAATGTTCTTTTGGATGAAGAAGTACTTACTGACCCAAAGATCCAAGCACTGCTTCTTACTGTTCTGGTAAGGAACTCCCACCCTTGTCTGTCTGTCTGTTGATTTACTTATTTATTTTCAAGGCAGAGTCTCACTGTACAGCCCTAACTGTCCTGGAACTCATTGTGCAGACTGGACTGTCCTTGAACTCACAGGGATCTGTCTGCCTCTGCCTCCTGAGTACGCCACTGCTCCTGCAGGGCTGTCCCTTTTGAGGGCTTCCCCCTCAATTCTTACTCCAGTCTGCTCTTAACAGGCCCTTAAGTATTACAAATACGAAAGGAAGATGTTTTCACTTCACCAACATAGAAAGAGTCAGTCACAACATGTTGACTTTTTTGCATCTTGGCAGGCTACACTGGTAAAATACACTACAGATGAATTTGATCAACGAATTCTTTATGAATACCTAGCAGAGGCCAGTGTCGTGTTTCCCAGAGTGTTTCCTGTTGTGTAAGTATCTCCTGTTGTTTGTAGCTACCTCTGTGTCTGTCTTTGTGGCAGGTGCTCTGTAAAGGTGTGGGAAGTGTATTTCTCAGTGAGGTCTGCCATCTGCAGAGTGGGGAAGGGAGCCAGCGCTTTTAACCAGAGAGAGATGATTAGTGGTTTAGGCTTTGGGACTACAGCTCCATAGAAGAACACATGCTTAGCATACACAAGGGCCAGGGTTGACCCCAGCACCCAAAACAAAAGCCACTATTGTGGGGCTGAAGAGATAGCGCAGTAGGTAGGAGGTGTACTGGTTTTGCAGAGGTCCTGTTTTCCATTCCCAGCACCCTCTTCTGGCCTTAGAGGACACTGAACATGCATTCACATACCCACACACAAACACACATGCATACACATGATTGAAAAGAAAAATAAATCTTTTTTAAAATCAATACTTTAATAGTGGCTAAAGCTCTGTTTTTCCCCCTAATCTTACTGATTTACTTTAGTCAGTTATCTTAATGAATACTGTACAGTTCCTCAAGAGCAAGCTGTTAGATTGCTATATTTAAACCAGCCTGCTTAGTTTTCTTTGGGGGGCGGGTGTCCAAATCATTCCTTTTAACTATTTTAATTGTTTTAGTGCACACATGCGTGTCTACTATGGCACCTATGTGGAGGTCAAAGGACAACTTTGCGGGGTCGGCACTCTTCCTCCACCATGTGGGTCCTGGAGGTCAGACTCCGGCCCTCACCCTTGACAGCTCTCACCTTCGTCTGCTGAGACGTCTTGCCGGCCCTGTCTCCTTTAGTCACAGCGGAGTGAAAACAGAAGGACCTCTTATCTAGGGCTGGCTCCACTCCCCACACTCTAACTTCCAAGGGTTTGCTCTAGTTTGATTTCTGTTGCTGGGATAAAACACTGACCAGAACAGCTTGGGGGAGGGACTGGAGAGATGGCTCAGCAGTTAAAAGCATGGCTGCTCTTCCAAAGGATGCTGGTTTGGCTCCCAGCACCCACATGGTGTCTCACAACTGTCTGTAACTCCAGTTCCAGGGAATTTGATACCCTCTCTGGCCTCTGTGGACACCAGGCTCTCATGTGGTACATAGACATACATGTAGGCAAAGCACTCATACACATAAAACAAATTTTGAAAAAAGAACAGCAACTTGGTGAAGAAAGGTTTTATTTCACCTTATGAGTTAGAATCTAATCATTGAGGGAAGCAATTAGTTCCAGGGCAGGAACTAATAGAGAAACCATGGAAGAATGCTGTCTGCTGGCTTGCTCAGTTAGCTTTCTTATACATCCCAGGCCCACATGCCCAGAGCTAGCACAATCCACAGTGGGCTGGGCCCTCTACGTCGGTTAGCAATCCGGAAAATGTTCCCGAGACAGACCATTCTGATGGAAACAACTCTTCAGTTGGGAGTCTTTCTTCCTGGATATGTCAGCTGATAGCTATGACAGAAAGTTGTTGGCAAATAAACAAAGCTTTGAGAAGGCCTTTGTGTGGAATGCAGAACAATAGAGAGTTCAAGGTGAAGGATGGACATAGGGCATGGACCTGGTGAAAGCCTTTGTGTGTGCTATTGTTAAATACTGAGTTATATCCCTTTGTACAGTGCAAAGCTGTTGGGAGATCTTTAATTGGTAATAAGTTGCTATGGAAATATTCTCTGGCTATTTTGTTGAGAATGATTTGGAAGAAACAGTAGATTCAGAAAGATTTTAATTAGGAGACTATCCAAGAAGCCAGTATCTGGGATATAAGGAGAGGTAGAACTGAAATTGCATTTAGGAGGTAAGAATTAGAGAAGTTGGTCATAGGTTAGGTGTGGACTAGAGCAGTTCCCTGAAGAGTATTTTTATGGTTTGCACGTTACAGTGGATGGTAGTGGTTTCATAGCTGGGATAAAAATCTTGGAAGAATCCCATGCCTATGAAAGGGGAAGTAGAATGACCCTGGGTTTGGACATTTTGAAACAATTTATGTCCAACAACTAAAGATACTATAGGCACACTTTAGTTTATAACCTGAGCACATCAGTGTAGCTTATTGAGCATCCAACATTTGTTGTTTAATCTCATTTCAAAGTTTCTGAATTTCACGTATCTAGGTGTTTTTTTTTTTTTTTTTTTTTTTTTTTTTTTTTTTTTTTTTTTTTTTTTTAGCAAAATTGAGTCTGATTTGGCACTAGTTAATATTACATTTGATTTTAACCCTAAGTGCATAGAAGCAGACAGCAGAGGATAAGGAGGGTATAGAGTGTGCTACCGAGCGAACTGAACCGGGCCTGTCTTGAAAACACTCTGTGTCGTTTGACACAGCTGTGTGAGAGCGGCTGGTTGTTTGCTTTCACTGTGTTTCCCCTGATGACCTCACAAATGGAGGCAGTACCCGGGCTCTCACACACACTCCTTCACTAGACACTGGAGAAAAGCACCAGAAACTTAAAAGCACTTGTCTTCAGTTTTGCCACGTTGTTCTAAGGAATATATATTATGCTTTCCAGTAAATCTTTTTATTTAATGTTCCTCTGTTTACTTTTTTTTTTTAGGCACAATTTGTTGGACTCTAAGATCAATACCCTCTTGTCATTGTGCCAAGATCCAAATTTGTTAAATCCAATCCATGGAATTGTGCAGAGTGTGGTGTACCATGAGGAGTCCCCTCCACAGTACCAAACATCTTACCTGCAAAGTAATTAAGTATACCAGGAGAGGATGCTTGATGAGCCTGCGCCTGCGGCCCTGTTGTGGAAGCACTGACTAGCATTCTCTAGAAGGGACAGGCTCGTCCTTCATACTTCTCTCCCTTCATGCCATTTTCTGACTCTTAGTTATGTGTTCAGTAAGATAACTGCTTGACCACGTTATTAAAATGCTAAGCCTATTTTAAGGAGATTTCAGTCATCTTTGACACTCATTGTAAAATGTCTTAAACATATACATAGATTCATTCTGTCGACTATACAGCCTAATTTCCATTACTATTTAAAGCTGCCTTGCTTGTTGTAAGAGTAGCATTTGATGTTTTACAGGTTTTGGTTTCAATGGCTTATGGCGGTTTGCAGGACCCTTTTCAAAGGTAAGAAAAAATATTTTTCTCTAATTTTTGATAAGCCAGAGTCTTTAGCTATATTTGTGAGCCTGTTTGAGAACACACGCTGTCCTCAAACCAAGGTGCCATCTCAAAATAACACATTGTTTTAGAAAGATTTTTCCAAAAGAGGCAATACTTTTAAATATGTTGATATAAATTAATTTTTATTTTAAAATACTGAAGTTAGGCTTGACTTCTCAGAAGGGTATGATAAGCCTTTATAAAACTTGTCTGCCTGTAGACTAGTGGTTCTCAACCTGTGGGTTGTGACTGCTTTGGGGTGACATCAGATATTTACATTACAATACATAGCAGTAGCAAAATTACAGTTATGAAGTAGCAATGAAATAATTTTACAGTTGAGGGGATCACCTCAGCATGAGGAGCTGTATTCAAAGGTCACAGCATTAGGAAGGTTGAGAGCCACTGCTGTAGACCTCTATATGTGGCAGTAACTCACACACCTGTCTTAGGACTAGCAAAGAATATGATGCCTGTTAAAATCTACCTCGGGGACACATTTTTACATTCAACCATTATATTGAGTTGTTTTTTTTTTTTTTTTTTTTTTTGCTGTTCATTTTCTTTGACTAGCATTTGTTGGTGTATTGTATGAATTTGTATTTAATTTTTTTATAGGTGGTCTCTTTTAAAATAATTGAAATTCCTTGAAGGCAGGGCTTCTACCCTATCCCACCCGCCCCCCATATACACACACACATACACACACAGTGTCCTATATACCAGAGTGTTAAATCAAGAGGAGCTAGCTATACCTTGTTCCGCTTTCAAGAGTTAGATTGAGTTTATTTTGTAATATCTGTTGATATGCACAGGTTGGTATTTAAAAGATGGGCCTGAAGTCACAGAAGTGTGTCATGCAGAAGTTTTTAACAGGTAGATGGTTGTTACCCGCTGAGCCCCTCCATGTCTTGCTGGGGGGATCTGAGTAGCAGCTGGCATGATGATGCTCTGCCTATTTTCTCTACTTTGGGAAACTGGCTAGACATCATTGCTGAGGACTACATTGTCTGTTTATTCAAACCCTCTGTCTGGGCATGGCTTTCAGAAATTGCAGGTTCATCTGGAAGCTTTTAGGGGAAGCTAAATAAAATTTCAAGCTGTGAGTTCCATAGTTGTTGCTAAATACTACTCTAGTCCCCTCCTCTTAATGATCTAGAATACAAACAAAGGAAGAGAGCAAAATTAAGCCCCAGATATCAGTTAACCTTTTTTGGCTTCAGAGGGAATTTTTTAAAAATGGAGCTAAAATAATGTCCTATTTTCCATTACAGCAAACACAAATCCCAGACTATGCTGAGCTTATTGTTAAGTTTCTTGATGCCTTGATTGACACGTACTTGCCTGGAATTGATGAAGAAGCCAGTGAGGAGTCCCTCCTGACACCCACATCTCCTTACCCTCCTGCACTGCAGAGCCAGCTTAGTATCACTGCCAACCTTAACCTCTCTAATTCCATGACCTCACTTGCAACTTCCCAGCATTCCCCAGGTCAGTAAATGTGATCTTTATGTGACTTTGAGCAATGGAAAGGAACTCCCTTGTGGTCAGATTATAGCAGATTTTGCTCCTTTTTCTCTTGAGGTTCACTCTACATCTCTTTACTATGTAACTGAATGTTGTTACTCATCAGAGCTGTCTGCTTTCCAACAAGTTGTATAAAAGAGAGGGAAATGTGTAGTGATGTTTAGTATCCACATACGTTTGGACCAAAAGCACAAACTGAGCTACATTACCTATAAATGAACAGAGAAGTAGTTCTTTTATCAGATAGACTAACATTACCCTAAGTACTTCTATGTCTCTGATGCAGCATACTATAAAACACACACATAGAAAGTCTGGTCGTCACCCCTCTTTATTGCTGGTAGCAATGTCAGCTACCCATAAACCATAGGCTAGCTTGAAGATCTGGGATTAGGATGACCAGACCCCCAAAAAAAAGTCCTTACAAAAAAAATAAATAAATAACATCTTGGAGCTGCAGAGATAACTAGGTTGGTAGAATGCTTCCCTTGAGAGCCCAAGGGCCTGAGTTTAATCCCTAGAACCCACAATTTAAAAAGCTACTTGTGGTAGAACATACTTGTAATCCCAGCATCCAGGAGGCAGAGGCAAGAGAATCCCTGGGGCTGACTAACCAGCTAGCCTAGCCTACTTGGTTCTTTCCAAGGCAGTGAGACTCTGTTTCACAGAAAGGTAGACTTGAGAAACAATACTACACCTGTGCACATGCGTATGCACAGAGGAAAAAAAATCTTTTTTTTTTTTTTTTTTTTTAAGATTTATTTATTTATGTATACAGCATGTATGACTGCAGGCCAGAAGAGGGCACCAGATCTCATTACAGATGGTTGTGAGCCACCATGTGGTTGCTGGGAATTGAAC